TTAGCCAGCATAGTTCTCTCTGTCTCCACATAGCCTTTCTAGGTGACTTTAGCATGATAACAAGCAGCCCAAAAAGGAGAAGTCTAAGAAATCTGGATGGATGTTGAAAGATGTTTTATGACCTGGGCTCAGAAGTCCCAGGCTGTCACTTCTGCCCCATTCTATTGGTCAGATAAGTTACCAAGTTCAGGCCATAGTTAATGGGAAGAGAATTGGACTGCACCTCTTTTTCTTTTCTTTTCTTTTCTTTTTTTTTGTTTTTTGAGGCAGGTGTCTTCCTATGTAGTCCAGGCTGGCCTGAAACTTACTATGTAGCTTCAGGCTTGCCTTAAGTTCAAGATCCTCCTGCCTCAGTCCTCTGAGTGCTGGGACAACAGTCTGCACCACCACACTTGCCTTGGATTTCACCTTTTTTTTTTTTTAGTACTGGGGTTTGAACTCAGGGCCTACACCTTGAGCGACTCCACTAGTCCTTTTCTGTGAAGGGTTTTTTTTTTTTTAATATTGAAATTATTTTATCTATTTATTTATTTATTTATTTTTAAATTGTATTATTCATATGTGCATACAAGGCTTGGGTCATTTCTCCCCCCTGCCCCCACCCCCTCCCTTACCACCCACTCTGCCCCCTCCCTCTCCCCCCCACCCCCTCAATACCCAGCAGAAACTATTTTGCCCTTATTTCTAATTTTGTGTGAAGGGTTTTTTTGAGATAGAGTCTTACAAACTATTTGCCCAAGCTGGCTTTGAACTGCGATCCTCCTGATGATAGCCTCCTAAGTAGCTAGGACGACAGGCTTAAGCCACCAATGCCTGGAGAACTTCACCCTTGATAAGAGGAATACTAAGTAGCTCTAGGGAGAAATGGGATGAATGGCATCATCCTGGGGATTATCCACCACAGTCCCCATCTCCTCCCAGCCACCATGATTCTTGTCTTTTTCATTGAATTGACTTGAAGTCCAGGATCTCATATAAATTGGAGTCAGCTGTGGATGAGGTGCCTTGAATGCTATTCCTCTTGATCTGAAGAACTGTGAATTAAAGAGACAAACCATTTGTCCCATTTCTGCCTGTATTAGGGGTCCCCAAGAGCATCCCCAGTTCAATGGTTCACTAGAAAGACTCACAGGACTCAGCGTAAAATCATACTCATGGTAGAGAAGTCTCTTAAAAATATTGTGGATTTTCTTCTAATAGTATTGAGTTCACTCTAGTAGATAAAAGTCACACTCTAAAGTCTTTTAAAGATGAGCTCTTCTTTTCCTTGGATTTAGAATTAAAGTTCTCTGAGATAATGTTCTTAAAATTCTTGGAGACTTTTTTGTCTGGTTGGGAGCATCTATGAAGCATACTCTCCAATCTGGATGCTGAGAAGAATCCTAAGATTATTTTTACCCAGAGGCCATAGTTTACTTGAAATGTGCTGGATTTAATCTTTATTGTTGGACCATTTCCTTCTGTCCAGTTTTTTGCTGGGAGAGACTAGGGATTAGAAAAACCTTCATTTTTGAATTTAGCAACTCTTGCCTTTACATTCTCTCTTAATTCTGCTTGAAAATTAAACAATTCTTTCCTTCTCCTCTCTTCTTTCCTCCTCCCCTCCTCTCCCTTTTATTCTCCTCTCCTTCCCTCCCCTCCCTTCCTTATCCTCTCCTCCCTTCTCTTTATCTTTCTCTCTTTTGAGAGGGTCTAGCTATTATCCCAGGCTGACCTCAAACTCAGCTCCTTCTGCTTTATCCTTCTGAGTGCTAGAATTGTAGGTGTGCACTACCATGCCTGACTAAACAAGTCCTTCTTTTCTTTTTCTTTTTTGGTTTTGGGATTGAACCCAGGGCCTTGCACATGCTAGACAAGCGCTCTATCACTGAGGTATACCCCAGCCCCTGGTTCAACTCTTTTCTCATGTTTTGTCTTAGGCAAATAAAAGACATCCCTTTCTATTTTTTAATTTTTGGAATACTATCTTTTTTCTAACCCCTGTGGTAAAATTTGTTTTTATTGAGAAACAAAAAAGTCTAATTTTAAAAATGGGGTTAGTAGATTGGAGTCATGAGTGAGTCTATTGAAGTCTTTGTAAACCAGGTGTGGTGGTGATGGTATGTGTCTGTAATCGCAGCACTCAGGAGGCTGAAGCAGGAAGATCCTGAGTTTGAGGCCAGTCTGGGCTACATAGTGAGACTCTGCCTAAAAAAAAAAAAAAAAAAAAAAAAAAAAAAAAAATCCCAAAAAACTCAAAAAGCAAAAAACCCCAAAAAACAAAAAGCAAGGGCTGGGGATGTTTTATAGTGGTAGAGTGTTTGCCTAGCATGCCCAAGACCCTGGGTTTGACTCCCAGCATCACAAAAAGAGTAAAAATAAAAAGAGACATTGCATCTTCCACCTTTTTCTTTCTTGGATCATTTTGGACTGGGAAAAACCAGCTGCCATGTTGTAAAGACAGTCAAGCATCTGTGGGCAGACTCACATGGGGAGTTGCTGAGGTGAGTGAACCATCTTGGAACAAGATTCTCCAGCACCAGCTTAGCTGTCAATGACTGTGACTCCATGTTCCCAAGAGACCTCTAGAGAGAACTAAACAGTGAAGGGACTTCTAGATTTCTGACTCACAAAAAGAGAGAGACACACACACACACACACACACACACACACACACAGAGGTATGATATTTATTATTGTTTTAAGATGCTCAGTTTTGAGTTTATTAGTTATGTAGCAAAAGATAATATAATCTGTTAGATTCCATACCACTGCTCTTTCCATGACATTGTGCTGCATTTAAATATTTCTGATGGTTAAGAATGAGTATTATAGGAGAAGTAGGAATTTGGAAGTCCAGAATATCTGGATTATGGATATTAAAAAAAAAAAAAGGCTTTGCAATACATTTGGTGTGTCCAGATGCTGGGTGAGAAAGAGGAGTGGTAGCTGGTGGCTAAGCTGAGCCTTGAGAATTAATTAGGAGGACTTCTTTTTTGCCACTACCTAAGGCAAGCTGAGTCGGCATGAAGAAATTAGAGGTTAAACCGTGTGTTTTTGCTGAGTGGCAGATGGGCTGCAATTGGGGAAGATAACAGAAACCAGAATGTGGGAGGGTAAGAAGTCCTGACCAACTATGAAATGGAGCAGCTCAGAACTGTCACAGTGAGGAGCTGACTCTTCCTTCTCTTCAACTGACCCATCCTTTCCTCTGCCCACCAGGTTCCCTTTGACTTGAAACTCACTGAAGCAGCTCCTTCTTTTTCCTGCGCTTTCCAAATCCCTCCTTTTCTTTTCCTTTCTGTTTTTTTTTTTTTAATAAGGTATATAGCTAGTTAATTGGGAGGCAGAGATTGGGAGGATCAAGGTTCTAGGCTAAACTCTGGCAAAAAGTTAGCAGGACTCCCAGCTCAACTAATAAGCCCCACATGGTGGTGAACCTGTGGTCCTGACTATGTGGGAGGCATAGGTAGGAGGCCAACCTGGGGCATAAATGAAAGAACCTACCTGAAAAATAACTAAAACAAAAGGGTGTAGGGGCATGACTCAAGTGGTAGAAAACCTGCCTAGCAAAGTTGAGGTTCTGAGTTGAGCCCTAGTACTGATGAATAAATACATAAATAAATAAATATGTGTAGATAAAGGAACTTTATTTTATTTATTTTTAAAAAATGTAATTATTATTAGTTTTTTTTTTTTTTTTGAGACAGGGTTTCAAACTTGAGATCCTCCTGTCTAAGCATCCTGAGTGCTTGGATTACAGCAGTGCACCACCATGCCAGACTCATAAAGGAACTTTTCTTTTTGGTAGGACTGGAGTTTGAACTCAGGGCTTCTAGCTTAAAAAAGCAGGCACCCTACTGCTTGAAGCACACCTCCGGTCCATTTTGCTCTGGTTATTTTGGAGATGGACTCTCCTGAACTATTTGCCGCGTCTGGCCTCGAACTATGATCCTCCCGATCTCAGCCTTCCCAGTAGCTAGGATTACAGGTGTAAGCCACTGGTGCTCGGCCATACAGGATCTTTTAAAAGGAAGACAAATTTTATCTGAGAATCACCTCCTTTTGAAAACGTTTGGTATTTATTTCTCTCCCCATATTGTCCTGATCTGGTCTAGGATTGGACAGGAGAGGCACTGCGCATGGTAACTTAATCAGATCGGAGTCATTCAGCAACAGTTACTACCTGAGAATGCTGGCACTGGAAGAGCCTTTCTAGAACATGTGGGACAACCACACTCATTTTATATGCGGAGGATCTGAAGTCGGAAGAGCTCAAGTAACCATTGTTAACAGATATGAATAGAACAGCTACAATCAGGATGGCTCTGCCCTAGGCTTGGCTGAGTTCTTTTAAGTGGCCTACCCATTCTGATGAGTAAAATGGGTGGAGTGACTTGCTGGGGTCCTCCTAGATTTTGAACCATGCAAGGAGAAAAAGATCAGCAGCAGCAGCATGAACCGGGTCAAACTCTTCCTAGGACGTGTATTAACCCTCATCAGCTGGGGTTAGAAAGAAAAGGGTGCCTGCCTTCTTAACTCACCTTAAAACCCATCTCTGTGCCCCCAGAGCCCGCTACAGAGAAGGCATCATTGCGAAATGAACCAACCACCTTCTCTCAGAGGTCCTTCCTTGCTTCCCCTCCCTTTCTCCACCCTTCCCAATTTGGGACATTTGAGGCTTTGTCTGGGAACTTTGCGGAATCTTGTGTGACCTCCCTTCTCACGGCGGGTCGCCAGCTGGGGCTCATTCCAGTGTCTCGAGTTTTTCCTCTGGGTGGTGAGGGGGCATTTATTTCGGGTGTACGTGAGCCCTAAAAATGGCCTTAGCTGGTCTGGGAACCAAGTAGAAGGATCGGGGTGGTGTTTACCGTCCCAGACCCGACAGAAGGCTGAGTATTCCCGACGGCGCAGGCCGGCGGAGCCGAGCGGCTCAGGGGGCGTGGCCTCGCAAGGGGTGGGGCCTGGGCGGGGCTCCGCAGTCAGGTGACGGCGCCGCGAGCGGCGTCGGCCAGGGGCGGCAGAGGCGCAGAGGGGCTGTCGGAGCCGGCTGTGCTGGCTGGGGTAGCAGGGGCTGCAGGGGCCGCGGCCATGGGGGGCTTGAAGGACGAGCTTCTTAAGGCCATCTGGCACGCCTTCACCGCGCTCGACGTGGACCACAGCGGCAAGGTGTCCAAGTCCCAGCTCAAGGTGGGCGCTGGACTCCCCGCGCCACACCGGGGCGCCCTCCCCGCTTCCCGGGGTGGAAGCTGAGCGGCGGCCGCAGGGAGGGGCGGGCGGGAATGCGGCGCGGCTGAGAGGCGGACGCCGGGATTTGGCATTTTCGGCTTCCTTCTGTCTTCGGGCGGTCGCTCGGTTGGGCGTGTTAGCCCTCGAGGTTCCCAGGGGGCTGGGAGAGGCCGGGTGGGGTCTGTGGGGGGCGGTTCTGCTTCCTGGTTGGCGCGAGACGCGCAGAAACTTTCGGACTGTGTGGGGGGAGTGGGTATAGTGACTTTGTCAGAGTTTCCCCCTTACTGGGGCTGAACCCGGGACTTGCCCAAGGTCACGGGGCAGAACCTCTGCAGTCCGCAGATCCACACCCGGGCAGACCTCACATGGGCTAGCTGCACCCTGGGCACCGGGGCAGGCCGTCCTGAGAAGAGGGAACCCCAGAGCCTGGTCCCCAGCGTGCTCCTCCATCGCGAGCAGTGACCATGGCTTTCTGACCCGCCCGCGGTCCTCTGGTCGGGAACTAGTGGAGAGGGTGTGCTGTGTTCCCCGTGAGGAGCCCTCATTTTTCTGGCACCCAGCAAAGGCATCTGCTTTTGCAGAGTGGTTATTGTGGTTGCCAGAGACCCCATCACTAAGTCAGAGTGTCAGGTATACATAAAGGGATACTTGTAAATTGAATAATCCCAAGCAAGGAAAGTGGCACTCAGCCAGGAGGAATTGGCAGCGACTTGAAAGTATAAAATATAGAAACAGACAAGAGGAGCCATTCACAGGCATTTCCAAATATACACATTTTGGATCTGAATGACTGGTTTTCTTAGCCTCTTCTGAGAATGAGTTTCTGAAGATTGGGTTTGCTTTGTATATTTTGTGCTCGTAATCAGGAAGCTCTTTTGAGTAGTGGCTTTTATGCCCGTAGGATTTAGCATTCTTCCTCGCCTTCCTTTCGCTTGCTTCTTTTTCTCATTCATAGAATCATAGTCTGGAAGAGCCCCGGTAATAATCTACATATTGTTTATTTAACTTTAAAAATTAATATACAGTAAACTTAACTTTTTTGGTGTCCTGTTCTGTAAGTTTTAGTACGAGTAGAGTCATATATGTATTGTCACAACAAGGGGTTCATCAGTTTCGTCCCTAAGAGTTCCCTCATACTGCCCCATTCCCATTCCCAACACTGGTAACCACGGATCTGATTTCCTTTTGTACATGTGATGTAAATGGAGCCATACAGTATGTCACCTTTTAAAAACTGGTTTCTTTTATTTACTCAGTGTAATGCCGTAGAGAGCCATTCAACTTGTGTGTATCATTCTTGTTATTGCTAAGTAATATTCCATTGTATGAATGTGCCATAGTTTTTCTATTCATCCTTGAAGATTTGTGTTATTTCCAGTTTTTATGAATACAGCTACATTTTTACCTTTCATTGTTTTTACTTTTACGTGTTACTATATTTAGGATAGGTTTCTTTTTTAGAGGAAAGCATATATCTTAATTTTTCAAATATCCTTTTAAATTTAATTTTTATTAGCATACACTAATTGTACAAAGGGGTTTCATTGTGATATTTATAACATGTCATAATGTATTTTGATCAAATTCACCCCATCTATATTGCTTTCTTAACCTCCTTCCCTTCTTCTCCCGGCTATTTTAACAGTTTTTGGTGGGTGTCATGCTATTTTCATACACACACACACACACACACACACACACACACACATATAAAATGTACAGTGTACTTCTATAATATTCACACCTTCCCTCACCCTCTCCTTTACTCCTCTTCCACGTGCTCGTTTTCCCCTCTCCCCCCAAAAAAAGTAGTACTAAAGTGGTTTCTTTTAGATAACTTGTAGGGTCTTTTTTTTTTTTTTTGTGGGGTTTGAACTCAGGGCTTCATGCTTGCAAAGCAGGCACTGTACCACTTGAGTCACACCTCCAGTCTATTTTGCTTTGGTTATTTTGGAGATGAGATCTCATGAACTGTTTGCCCAGGCTGCCTCGAGCCATGATCCTCCCAGTTTCAGCCTCCTAAGTAGCTAGGATTGATTACAGGTGTGAGTCTGGCTTTGGGTCTTTTTTTGTTCATTCTGACAATTTGTCCTTCAATTGGCGTATTTAGGTCATTTACATTAATGTAGTTAATGTTATGGTTAGATGTAGGGCTGCCATTTTATTATTTGGTTTTTGGTTTCTCTTTGTTCCTCTCTTTTTTTCCTTCTTTATATTATTTGAATATACTTTATTCTGTTTTAATACTGAGTTTTTGATTCTTTGTGTAGTTGTTTCAATGGTTGCACTGGGAATTAGAATATTCCTATCTAAACTTTTATGCTGTACTTAGAATTAATATTTTACCACTTAATCAGAATGTAGAAACCTTACGGCATATAGGTCCCTCTGTTCGTCCTACTTCCTGTTGTAATTACCATGTTACTACTCTGCCAGCATCAAAAGTTCTCAGTGTTAAATTGATTTTGCTTTCAACCATCATTTCTCTTTTAAAGATTTTTTGAAAAACCTTGTTTTATTAGTATACAATAGTTGTACAGGGGTTTTTGTTATTTTTTTAATATATAGATATATTTTGGTGGTACTGGGGTTTGAGCTTAGGGCCTCAGGCTTGCTAGGTAGGCGCTATACCACTTGAACCACTCTGCCAGCCCTTTTTGTGTTGGGTATTTTTGAGATAGGGTCTCACAGACTCTTTGCCAGTGTCTGGCTTTGAACCATAATCCTCCTCACCTCTGCCTCCTGAGTAGCTAGGATTTCAGGCGTGCCTGGCTAAGATCTTAAGAGAATTTTTAATCTTTTCCCCAGGTTTCCTAGATTATTCCTCAGTTTTATAGATATGGTAGATTAAGCTTCTGGGACATGTAGTGGTTTGCTTAAAAGCACAATTGTAAGCAGTAGATAAGTTTCCTGCCAAAAATTTCACACTTTTTGAGCCAATGTTTCTTCATTTTTTCCCTCCCAATTGACACAAATGAGATGTTTTTGTGTTACTTTTGTACTTTATTCAAAATTGTTTTTGTGGCTGCTAATAGGAAAAGGTCTAGGAGGGTTTTTTTGTTTCTTTGTTTGCTTTTTTTGTGTGTATGTGTGTGTGGTACTGGGGTTTGAACTCTGGGCCTACACCAAGAGCCACTGCACCAAGCCTTTTTTGTTGGGTATTTTTGAGATAGGGTCTCAAAAATACTATTTGTCTGGGCTGACTTTGAACTGAGATCCTCCTGATCTCTACCTCCTCAGTAGCTAGGATTACCGGTGGCGCCCAGCTCTTTTTTTGCTTTTTTGAGACAGGGTCTGCTCTGTAGCCCAGATTGGCCTCAAAATTTGGTACGTAGCTAAGGCTGGCCTTGAACTTGGCTGTCCTTCTTTCTCAGCCTCCCAAGTCTTGGGGTTACAGGTGTGGGCAACTGTGCCCCACTCCTAGGGGAGTTTTGACAGCAGGTTTGGCACAAGGTGTAAAAATCTCAATTTATAGCTTTTAGCCATAAGACATTAGCACATCTATGCAATTGTACTTTGTCTCTCCCATGTCTACAGAAAAGACTCTGGAATTAATTCAGTCATGTTCCTCTTGCCAGTATTCATATGACTGAGAATATTTTTAAAACTTTATCGAAGTTTCTTTTTGGTGTTTGAAGTTTGATGTTCTTTTGGCTAGGGGTAGAATTTTTGTCTTAATTTGTTGATTCATTTATAAAATAACCTTTTGTATTTTTATTGTACACCAGGTAACATACTAACTTAATAAAAAGCTTAGTACTTTTAGGCCCTTAAGAATTAATATCTCCTTGGAGGAAATATGTAATTTGTTAAAGAGCAGACTACATATTCTACAAATTCAAAATGGTGGCTAAAATTTTTCACTTTAGAAAACTATATGAATATTCTAAAATATTTCTGACACTGTCTTTTTGAATTACCTTTACAACTTTTGACACAGAAAGGATACTTTCACGAAAGGTATAATGCTCACTTCATATGTTGGGCTCTGGGCCCAGTGCTAAGGGTGATGATAGTGAAACATGGGAGAAGAAGAAACAAACACTAATCTGTGCTTAAATTTTGGTGAGCAAAAATCAAGAGACTAAATCATTAGAGAGAGAAGCCATTTTCTCTCTCTCTCTCTTTTTTTTTTTGCAGTACTGGGGTTTGAACTCAGGGTCTACACCTTGAGCCACTCCACCATCCCTTTTTTGTGATGCCTTTTTTGTGGTTGGGCTGGCTTCAAACAGATCTTCCTGATCTCTGCCTCCTGAGTAGCTAGGATTGCAACTGTGAGCCACTGGCTCTCTCTCTCTCTCTCTTGATATAAATGTATTATTTAGACTATCCTAGAGCTGAGGATGTTGCTCAGTGGTAGAGTACTTGCCTAGCATGCACCAGGCTCTGGGTTTGATTCTCAGCACTGCAAAAGCAAACAATTGACCTATCCTTAAAAAAGTCCAATGGTAGAGATAAGACATACAGAAATATTATTGGATAGAAGACACTGAGTGTGAGAGAGATGTGGGGCCATAAGATTTTAGAAGAAGAGGTGGCTATACCCCACTGGTGGGATTACTTCATGCAAAAAAAAAAAAAGGTTTGTTTTTTTTTTGGTATTGGTGTTTGAATTCAGGACCTCTTTACTATTTGAGCCACTCTTCCAGTCCCCAAAAACTTTCTCTCGAAGTATTTGCCTAGGCTAGTTTCGAACTCAATCCTCCTGATCTCTGCCTCCTGAGTAGCTAGGATTACAGGCATGAGCCACCGGTGCCCAGCAAACAATTTTTGTTTGGAATTTTTTTTTTGGATACACTGGGAATTGAACTCAGGGCCTTCCTTGTGCTTGCTAGGCAAGTGTTCAGTCACTTGAGCCATACCTCCAGTTCTGTATTAGTGGTTTTTAATTGAAGTTAGAAAATTAAGAAAAGAAGCTATTTAGAGAATAAATTATAACTTAGTTTTGAACATATAGAGTT